AACTTCACACATGAACTAAAATCTTCACCTTTCATTTCCTGCAGGAAATTTTATTAAATGTATTTTTAAAAAAGTAGGAATTTAAAATGTTGCACTTGTTAGTCTTCGCTAAATGAGTAACTGATTAAAATCAATTATGAAACACAGTAAAAACTGATTTGGTGATCCTGTAACATTTATTCACTAATGAATCTTTTTGATTTTCTTGTTGCATTTCATGTTTCAAACGACGGAATTTGTTAAATTAACTTATTTGAAGTGCTTTTGAGCCCACGCGCCTGAGCTTGTGAAATCCTATAGAGGTACTGAGCAATGTAAACAAGTCTGTAATGGATCAGCTGGCCCAGTGGGATTCAGTCACACTCACATTCACACCTAAAGGGAAATAACCGCCTCTCGAATCGACCGGACTTGAATGTCTTTGGAATTGGAAAGGAAATCCATGCAAATTCCCAACAGATGCAGTCTCTGCTTGCTGTGAGGTGACAGTGTTAACCGCCGAGCCGACGCAGTGCTCATGCTTTGTACCACAAAAAAATAAAAAATAAAAAAAGAGAGAGGGAGAGGAAATGTCAAAAAGTTCCTGTGATTCGAACTTCAAAGTGCAGCAAATGAAATTGAGTTTGGGGTTTTAGTCCCACCTCGCTCTGATGTGAAATAGAGCTGGAGACCTTTGGAGGGATGGTGACCAAGTGTCTGACCGCTCATGCATGCCGATGTGCACACGCTCACACACACTTGAGTGAGAATGTGTACCAGGGTGCAGAGAAATGAGTGAGGGGACCTGTTGGCCCCCACCTTTGAGGAAGTCAGCATAGCCAAAACCCATAGTGACCCCAAAAGTGGACCATCATCAGGATCCACAGGAAAATAAATGTGACCTTTCTTTTTGCCTTCTCCTCCCTCCAGCCTTCTGTCTGCCCTTCACCTCCCACAGCTTGTGCCTTCCTTTAACTATCCTAAACTGTGACGGGAGTGTGTGCTGGGCTCCTGTAAAACAACTTTGGACTTCAAATTGAGCTGTTTCACATCTTGCATGTCTTGTTTTGGCTTCATACACCAAATTCCCACGTTCTCAGATTTTATCCCAGCACATCTTCAGTCCGGTGTCTCCTGAAAACCCATTGAAAATCGCTCAACCTGATCAGATGGCAGCTGGGAGAAGTAAGGGGTGGAGTGGACCTGTCAACGTGTCAACCACACGATAACACACACACACACACACACACACACACACACACACACACACACACACACACACACACACACACACACACACACACACACACACACACACACACACACACACACACACACACACACACACAGAGACCCATCTGCAAATCAGCGGCAACATGTTTCACAAGTAGCAACTCATCGAACAGACGAGGTAAAGTTGTCATCCTGTGTATCTGTTCATATCAACATCGACCTATATACATGTGCATCTGTGTGTGTGTGTGTGTGTGTGTGTGTGTCTGTATGTGTGAGTGTGTGCTTTTGCAGTTCAGAGGCAAGAAATAAATTATAACAAGTGAGGGGTTGTCAGTCAAGATGATGGACACGGCCTTTCACAGACTCACAATTGTTTGACAACTGACCCCTCCCCTCCCCCCAACACATAACCCTTCCCTCCTCCATTTTTGCTACATACATGCATTCATACACACTTGCAAACGCTCCGGTCACGTGGATTGCACTATACCCCATCGGGGGTTCTAGAATCACAATACTAAGTCAGCATCTATACAGCTCTGGAGGGGCCAAACACTTCCTTACACAAGACTAAAAACAAAGGAGAGAGGGAGAGCGAGAGAGAGAGAGAGAGAGAGAGAGAGAGAGAGAGAGAGAGAGAGAGAGAGAGAGAGAGAGAGAGAGAGAGAGAGAGAGAGAGAGAGAGAGAGAGAGAGAGAGAGAGAGAGAGAGAGAGAGAGAGAGAGAGAGAGAGAGAGAGAGAGAGAGAGAGAGAGAGAGAGAGAGTGTGTGTGCTGAGAAAACTGCAGGAGGACATGTGGAGGCTGTTGCTTTTTCCTCTTTGGCTCACTGACAGTCGCCTGCTGTGACTTTGTAAAGGTGTCGACAATCTTTGGCAAAGAACATTTGCTGGAATTTGTTCTATTTTTAGATGAACTTTGCCTCTGTATTGGTTGTGTTACATTTTCAATGATGACACAGGAAAATTATAAGCTTAACATTCATTGAATAACATTATTAGTACACACATTTTGTGCTGTGAATGACTCTGATTTTATCTCATTATTTATAAACCTTACCCTTTTTTGCCATTTTTTGTTGATTTCAATAGTTATTAGATACATGACTTTCTGATAGCTTGATAAAAACCAATCTAGTGGTTTTTGAGATATTTTGCCAACAGACAGTCAACTCTAATAAAGTTTCAAATACATCTTTTCTGCTTTTCAGTTAGTGCTCAATTTATGTGACGAGAATGATTCTTAACTAAAAACACACCATGTTTTAGCTTAAGATCTGAAAACCCTACCTGAGCTTCAACCATTTTTATGTTTACAAACATTACTTGTGTTGGCCATCTTGAATCAGGTTGCTGCCAACATGAATTTCTGAGAGTTTCATTAGAAATTATTCAGTAGTTATTTTGCTAAAAGGCAGAATTGATGACCACCTTTCCAACATATCACATTTAGTATAGCAGTATTGTGGAGGATGACTTTTAACTGCTAAGACACCTAATTTTTACAAATTTTACAGTATATAGAGTTGACGCTGGCAGCTTTATTGAATTAGGTTATGAAGTTATTTTCTGAAAGTTTAAAATTGGCATGCAAATTTCAGTTCATTTGCGTTGGTCTGTAGTGTAAATGAAGGCCTTCTTAGTCAATCTCTGTGGAATAAAGCTCCTGTTTCAGGAAGTAGACATTAGCTGGAGGAGTGGAGGGCAGAAAAGGGCAGGACTTCGCAACCGCCTTCACATTATGGCTGACTTGGTCCTGCCCAGGTATGGTGTAAAGTGACTCTGGAGTTAGCCTCTCCAGAGTTGTACGGTTACCCACAGCCTGTTTATTCTCCGTGCTCAACCGGCCATTTTGTTTCAGCCCTTGGACACAGCTTATGTTGCAGCTTGCAATATAGTCGCCAGCCGGAGCTTGGCATTAACTCCTCACGTCATTATGACACCTTCCTCTGTTGCGCCATGGTGCAATGGCCATTTACAGGACAGACCATTACTGCAATATTACTACCAAGCGAGGCGGAATGAATGCTGCAAAATTTGGGCAACGCCATGCAGGCATGGCACATTTATAAGACACACCGTTGGGTTAATATTACGCTGATTTGCCAGCATGGTGTGTCTTGTGAAAAGGGCTACTGACACTGTTTGCTCTGCAATGTTTATGTTTTTTAATCTCGACAAATAACACAAGCCTGGAGTTCTGCCATATGGTGGAGTTGCTAACGCTAACAGTTAGCTTCTACTAGCTGAGACGTTCTCTGTTGTTTCCTGGATGCTAAACAAACAACAGCCTTCCCCGTCACAAGTCAAGATGGGTGAGTTCATGGATGTTAGGTGACAGTGTGATGTAGATCTGTCAGAATTTTCAAATCCTAGAGTTTCACCATCTATTTTCTATCAGAAGCTAATGAAAGAGGTGTGGAAGACTGTTTTCATGTTCAGCTTGTATGAAAAACTCAGAGCGACAGATGATGATCAGAAACAAAATTTAAAAGAAAATTTTCATTGTTCCACTCCTTTTAAATGAAATGCGTCCTGTGGGACATCAGACTTCAGAAACCCACACATTATTGCCCACCTTTTGCTTTTCAACAATATTGTTCCTAAAATTGGAATGCTGTAAGTCAAAAATACATTTCTAAGGGAATGTGTCCTTCGCTGCATGAGAGCTCCTTCCACTGAGGCATGAGAATCAAGTGCAGAAAAACCACTCCTGAAACCAAACCGAACTCAGAACCTCAGGATCTTCTTCCTGATGAGATACAGCAAAACTGCATCATCTCTCTCCGAAAAGGTAAATCTCAGTTTTCAGCCAGCTGTGTGGAGATAATGCATTGAGTAGTGATGACCTGTGACACTCTACTGACAGCAGAGCCACTCTCAGTGGTGGTAAAACCATTTAATTTTAAATGACAATTAAAACTAAATATGGACTTCCGTTCATAAAGCAACATGAAGGTTAATAAGATACTTTTTAAAGTTCTTTGAGGTTTAAAATGTTCCTTAAATCAAGAAAATAAATGTAGTTCTAGAAAAACATACATAATTACTGAAAATTAAGATTTATTTCTTTATTCTATTCCATATTCTGATGGCAAAAGCATTGCTTTTCCCAACTGTAAAGAAAGTTGAAGATCAAAGCAAAGGTATTCAAAGTCATTTAAACGTGCCTTTCCGTGATTAGCAACTGATCTTGCACTTAAGTGTCTGGATGTTGAAAATCTAGCTCACCCATCAGGCACAAATTGCGTCTGAAAACAGTGTTTACAAGTAATTTGAAGCTACTGTCTATGGAGGAACGATAGCATTTTAACTCCATTCCGGGATAAAAAAAAAGAAGAAGGAAAAACCTTCTCAGGGGTGAAGAGCTCATTTGTGACACTAATACATCACTTGTTGAAGTGAAGAGAAACATCAATACAGCTAATATAAAAATGATTACATAGTACCCCTGGTGGCATTTTTACCGCTTTGCTGAGCACACCACTTATGATCTCCACAGACGCCGAGAGATACATCAAGAAACAAAGTGAGTGAGATGGGATGGAGGGGAGGGAGAGAAAGGTGGAAGGTGTTTATGCTCATGCCTGTGGTTGTGCCAGTTAACATGGCGGTCGTTGTATTTGAGAACTCTCCCGATCAACTCCTGGTGATAACATATTTAAACTTTGTTTAGAAATGCATATTGGGGCATGGATGAAATCCAAACAAGCACACACTTGCATGACAAGCAACCTTTTGGTTGCTCAAATGATTTCACACAGGCTTTACTTAGCTGGTGACCTACAGATGTAGTAGTACTCGTGTCCAGGCCTGAACTCGAAGCCCAGGGAAAAGGGAGTGAAGAGCTGGAACTTCTCTGAGAAGCGCAGGGGTCCGTCAGGACCACTGGGACGGTTGCACTCCCAGCGTTTAAAGCCACGCATCCTGTGTTGGCAGGAAGTGTAGCCTTCAAGGTTGACCATAAAGAGAATGTAGCGCTCCATACGCCCATGGGATGGAGGACCCTCGTAGTAAGGACAGTAGATGTCCAAGTAGTCGTTGATGTTCACTGCTACTCTGTACTCTCCATGCCAGAACCTGTGAGACAGAAATGAAAGAAATTTCCTTCATAAATAAAAATGATCAGAAACAACCTCAGGAATTGTGTGCATGGACCTGGTGCACAGGAGTTAACGGTTTGTTGGAATATATTCTGAAAAAGCCTAAATGTCTACTTCCTTCTTTTATTGGATTTCTGCAAAGATTGTACAGCACAAAGGAAACTGGGTGAGGGCAGTTTCCATCTAAAATCAGACAGTAAAGCATATACAGTATACAGCAATATTCAATCGTAATAAAGTAGAAAAGAATTACCGGTAGTCTAAATTCAACTTGTATTATATCAATATGTCCTGCTGTCCACCATTTTTACCCCCAAATTAGACATTGTTCAGTGATTTTAATGATGTTTTAATGCCACTGCAGCCTGAAAAGGTGGTAAATTTGTTTGCCACAACATAAAAAGCTATCCATCTTCAAACAGTAACAGCACTGCGGCTCATCCGGAAGGACTCCAATGTGTTTGCAGATTAACTTTGAGGTAAAACATCTCTCCTCCTTTTCATGTATTTTACGTGACTTTTTAAATGGTCATAAACTGAACAGTAATACTTAATTTTTCCAATGCATTTTAAAGAATTGAACTCTGACACAAGATGTTTAAAACCATCTGAGTCATCTCAACACACAGCAAAAGCCTCCTAGAAGACACTTGGCTTTCTCACTTATTTTGGGAAAAAGACAAGTAAATCCATAGAAGTCCCTGTGATAACTAAAAACAGATGCATGAATAATTTTATTTTAATAATGCTCGGTGAGTCGCGAGTCAAGGGTAATGATAAAATGCATTTTTTTTTGCAGCCAGAGTGCCTCAATGTGTCTAGTGGGACGGTACTCAAGAGAAGTGATTATCCAAAACCCTTAAGCACTTATTTCAGTCCACATTTGTATCACTGGGGTTGTCATTAAGATGTATAAAAAATAAAAATACATGCATGCATAATATACCCATTGAGGAGTGTGAACATTTGCTGTTTTTTATGGTTTATTCTTTCATTCAGTTGAGCGCCAATGAACCTGCAAAGTAAAACACAGGTGGAGAACTAAGACTCGGTGACGTGTCCACTCGTCTTCCTCCAGCAGCCCCTGCTTTACAGCTTTAAAAACGCATGGCTGCATTTTTTCCACATAAAAGATGGGCTTTATTTATGTTAATGTCTCGGTGCCAGAGTTGTTCATATGGGAGCTGAACTTTGTTTATAGTCTTGGAGTCACCGGACTGAAACAGTCGCTCCTAAAGCATAAGGGTGTGGATGTTCAATCCTTTTGTTATTGTGAACATTTCCATGGATACACCGCACCCAACAACCCGGCATACTGCCGTTCTCATCTTTCTGGTCAGTGAGACCCTTACTTTTATTTAGACATCAATTTTTGGTGATAAGAATGAGACAAAGATGTGTTTGTTTTTCATCTTGATGATATTTTAAAAAGAGCCGAAGTTTTCTGAAAGTGTAATTCAATTAGGGACCAATTAGCAGTTGCTTTAAACTTTTTTGAACATATTAAGATTCAACTTGCGCCATATTGAATGTTTATACAAGGAATTTATCCAAGATGCAAAGAAATGACAAAGAGTTTGTGTAGCTGCTGGTTTAAAGCTGTGTCGCTTCATCAGTGGGATCCAAAAAACGAACTCACTGGGAAAAATGGCCATCAAAATCCAGTTTTAAGAACAAACACAGACAGGATAGAGCCTTCTTCTGGTGCAAATGGAAAGGAAAGGACAAAAGTCTTTCAAACAGTAATTCTATACATATTATGTCTTCAGAGATCAAAATTCACATCTGAAGAAACCTGGATATGTCCTTATAGTACACGTTTATAACACCTTTATAAAATGATAGCAAAAGGAAAACTTCTTTGAGGACAAATAAGAATAACCAATATAAAACAGAGGAGGAGGTCTCAGGTCTCATCTGTTTAACACCTCTAATGCAGCCCCAAATCTGATCCCGTTTCATAGCAACCCACACCCTCAGGAGTGTGACCAAAACATTTCTCAGGTGGACCAGGACAACAGACAAGCTAACGCCCCTCTGGAAAAAGCCCCCAGGGGGGTCATGTGGGCTTCAACACAGCTCTCACTAAAAGATAACACTCCACATTTAAATTCTTAAAGCTCCCTGAACGATAAGTCAAAATGTCTTCATAAAAACAAAGAAGTTTTTTAAAGCAGCTAGAATGGAACAAAGTATAAGAGGTAACAACCTCTCTAGCTACCTCCTCCAGTTTATCCAGAAGGACTCCAAAGTTTTCCAAGGCCAACTGTGAGATCTAATCTCTCTGGTGAGTTTTGAGATTGTCTCAAGGCGCCCTCCTGGTTGGAGAAGTCCGAAGGACCTTCCAACGCAAGATATCTTCACTAAATTCATAAATCCCCTCAACTGGATTCATTCAGTGCAGAAGAGTCTGAACCTTGTTCTGATGGAGGTTTAATTGGACTTTTCTTTTTCGCTGTTGCCCATCATGGGGGTCTGCACCGAAGTGAAGATGCAACTCAGTCTACTTGGTCCTCTATAAATGGACAATTCTAATCTACTGTCATTGTAAGATCTACTAACTCAAATTTGTTTCGACCCATTTACACTATTCTGGGTAATTTTACCGGACCTTCACGGCATGAACTTCACTCCATTTTCACAGGGCAGGCTCAAAAAGATAAATTTCTGGGCCATTTCAGGGACCAACAGAGTACCTAAACTGAGGTATGTACTCAGAAATGGCCTGGTAGAGTCACTGGGCGGGACCTGTGGTTAACTCATGCTGATTGTTTGTAAATTAGAGGGAAATTAAACCTGCAGACATCACCAAACATCCAGCTTTTATAAATTTGAAGAATTGCTTGTGAAGCAGAATGGAAGAAAAAAGAAAAGTGGCGTCGATGCCTCGTTTCTAAACTCCCCGTGCTTAAAAATGGCGCCTTTTCTGGTCCACAACAGGCCTTATGCTTCTTTTTACTCCAAACAGCTGCTCTCCTGATCTCCCGACTGGATGAAATTATGGTGAACTTTAACAGCATAAACGTTTAATGTTAATAATTTCTGTGGATACCCTTTGGTGATGATAAGTGATGTGAAACACTCCCCAAACGGTTGCGTTCAGCTGACATATTAGCAATGTCCTGAAAGCGCAGATCATAAATGGAGACACAACAGCGAACGGACCAAGCCATTCTATAAAACGTGGTTTTGTACTTCAATTCAATTCAATTCAATTCAATTCAATTCAATTCAATTCAAAAATACTTTATTAATCCCAGAAGGAAATTGATTGCTGCAGTAGCTCAGAATAATAATAATAATTAAGTCATCAAAGAGTTGTTGTATATTACAATGGCTGTTGGCAGGAAGGATCTCCAGTAGCGGTCAGTGTTGCAGCGAAACTGAAGAAGCCTCTGACTGAAGACACCCTTCCGTTGTCGGACAGTCTTGTGAAGAGAATGCTCAGGGTTGTCCATCATTTTCTTGATTCTCTGGAGAATCCTTCTTTGCATCATCTCCTCCAGCGGTTCCGAAACTGCCGAAACTCTGGCTGAGTCCTTGAAAGGGCTTGGAGTTCCTCCATCTTGTTGGCCAGTGATCTCACATTGCCCACTATGATCGATGGAGGCGATGGTTTGAATTTCCTCTCTCTCTGTCTCTGTTTTGCTCCCGCTCTGCACCCACGCTTCTTGCGTTTTAGCTCATTTGGGATTTGTGGCTTCAGTTGAGGTATTATTTCAGCCTTTCCAATGTTAATCAGCTGCTCCCGATTGTAAACCAGCTTGTTGCCATGGTTACGCATCATAACAAATGCTCAAAAAGTGAAAAAAGCTAAAACATAGCAGTAAAAATCCTCCAAGCTTCACAGCACCAGAAACAGAAAAGTAAAGTGTCCAAAAAATACAGTTTTTCTTGAGAAACTAGAAGAAAAAATGCTCAAGAAAAGGCAAAACGTACATATAGTCAACAGAGCTACTCCAACATGCAGCCGCCCAGAGCAGCGCAGTTCCGGAAAAAGGAGTTTACTTGAGTTTACCTCAAGAATCTGAATCTAAATCTAAATACAACTTTTGTTTAACTTGTGCTGAATAATGTGCTAAAGTCCCGACGTGAAGTTAGTCATCACCACTTTCCTAAACACAGGTGTATTAACAACCTGCAGCTTCTCAGGCTGGTTGATTTTTAAAACCGATTAACTGAATGTAGCGTTTTCATAGACACTACCACATAAGACCATGCAAGATGTTGGTGTGTGTGTGTGTGTGTGATCTACAGTGTGTTAACTGAGAGAAGATAATGGCGAAGGCTTTAGTGACGATTCACTGCAGCTGTCAGAGCTTCCTCACCAGAGACAGATGATGTTATAAGTTACCTTTTATTATGGCGGTGGACTGGCAGACACGTTGTGACATGACACCTTTACTGATACTTGAGTAAGTACAGCCTTTGTTGGGCCCTTTTTTTGATGATGTGGCTGATGTTGATACTCCATTTCAGAGAGTTATTGATGTGTGCGCCAAGGAATTTGAAGGAGTCCGTCAGGGATAAAGGTTAGCCTGAGAAATGAAACGGGGCTTTGATGTTTGTCCTCTTCCTGGGGTTTACTGCTGTTTTCATTGTTTTTGAAGCACTGAGTAAGAAGTTGTTTCTGCAGCACCTTTGCACCATCCTGTTTACGTAAGACAGGGACAGAACGCGCCGTTTCTGATGGAGTCAGTGCTAGAAGCCGGCCTCCTTTTTATCCTGAAGAAGATAACATAAACTGGAGCATCAATCTTAAATTAGTGATATGTTATTTACAAAAAAATTAATAAATATCAACATTAAGCATGGAACTGCCTAAAAAATAAAGTTTCATCATAGAAATACATTTTTTTCACTTGCATCCCATTTTATGTCCCAAAATAAATGACGTTAGTCTTTGTGTTTTGCATCGTTTAAAAGTCACGTCTGATCAAAACTAAAGTTTGACTTTGCTACATTCTTCAGTAAACG